ATTGACATAAAGAAGGAGAAGCAAGAATGTTGTAGCTTAGGCCTGCTTTTTGCTTCTTACAGATTACCTTTGGTCTTGATTTGTTCTTCCCCTAAAGGAAGAGGAAAAAACTCTTCAAAATTTAAAATTTTAATGGCACTCCTGCAGTTCCTTTTTGATTACAAGGGAGAACTGATGATAAATTATAAGCAAAGGCAGTTAAAAGATTCAGCATACTGCAATGAATGAAAACACACTTTGTCACCCATGATCACTAAAAGAGAAGTTTGGGCCAGAAACGTAACAGTTAAAAAGTTAAAAGTTAAAAAAGGGTAAAAGAGAAGGGGGTTTTAGTTTCTTTTTTTTTTTTTCTGTCTTTTTTTCATGAATAGATGTTGAGTTCACTCTGAAAAGAACAGGAAGCAGGCTCTGTAGTCCCGTCAGCATTTTCCTGATAAAACTTCTCCACATCCCAACAAAATTCAGCATTCATTTGTCTCAGTTGTCAGTCTGGACTCTGGCAGTATTCCATGCAGTCTTTTTAATCATCATATAAATTTGCTAAAAATGAGCTGTTGTGAAAACTCCTTATGACCTGTGTGGCCTTAAAAGACAATGGCAAATAGCTCTTTCACTGTTCTGAATACTAAAGCAGTTCCTCGTAATTATTTCTCTTTCTTCAGTTTTAAGGTCAACAATGTGTGATAAAGCACAGAAATTCCACCAGGACAACAGACACAGAGCAAAGAAAAATGAATAAATTAACACAGAAAATGTGAGTATAATACTTCGGTTTTTAGATTGACTTAGCATTACAGGAAAGTAACATTATTACAGAGCGCTATAAACTCTTACACGAAGTTCTGCTCTGTCTCATGTGGGAAACAATCCCTGACAAAGGATTATCTCTGCATTAGAAAATTCCAGCGGTTGCAAATATGCAGTAATTCCCCTTGAACAGCTTTAAGACTCATGTTTCAAATTTACTACATTACTTTTCAGTCAGGTCAGTCAAGTCCATAGGACAATACAAACTCACAGCTCTCTACTACCATCAAGCATTTAGGAAATCTCAACATACAGGATTTCTTTCCCCAAAATTAATTAGCAATTAAATTTAAATTTTAACTTCTATTATCTTTCTTAGGATAAGCTGCATACTTAAAGTGTATCACAACAGATTACTAAAATGTTACTCTATTCAGTTATGAAACAGTGCAGTATTCCTATTTTTAGATCAGAAGATACCAGAAAAAGACTCCAGCAAATTTGACCTTTGCAACAAACCTTTTCAAACCTATCTTAAAGAGCATTTCACTATAAAGCAGTAAAAATTAAGAGGAATATTCCAAAGAAAATAACCTATAGCAGCCTATACAATGTTCAGAGTCCTTCAACATACTAACATGTAGCAACAGTCTGATTTATCTAAGCAGCAGTCTTCTTAACAGTCCTAATATTTTCAAACTAGGAACAACAGTTGTCATAGAGAAAGAGTCATACATCATAGAAGAAGAGGACATCTCTATGGTAAATTCTCCCTTAAGAAAAAAATGTTTTAATAGAAAGAAAATTTCCAAGCAGAGTTATTTTCTCATTTCTTAGTGTACTAAAAATTTCACAGAAGAAAACCAGGGCACTCTAAAATTCATGGGGTTTTATTATCATATGGTAGTTGAAAAGCCATCCAGCATCCAGGACTGGGCCCATACAAAGATCTGTGCTGTCTATCCTTTTAGTCAGTATTTCAATGTCATTTAAGTAAAAAATAATAAAATAAATTACTTGCAAGAGTGCCTTAAAGGTTATGGCAAATTTATCCATTATGCAATCATAAAAATTTATAAGCCATCTGCTTGACTAGATTCCTTTTTCACAGAAGCTAGCTAGCATAACTTAAGCCTGCAAATTAGATATGTGTATAGATCTCAACTTACCAATACGTAAAACTTGTATAAGAAAAATAGTAACAGTTTATTGATTCATTATCCATGGCTATCTTGGTAATTTTGGGAAGGGGAGAGGAGGAAAGGCAGGACAATTTCTTTAGGATTTAAAAAGATACATATCTTTTAGCAACTCTGCAAATTCCTGAATGGTGGTTTTAGGCCACATTTCTTGCATATATGTAACTTTTGATATATACATGAAGGAAATTGCAATTTAGGTTATGTTTATATATGACAAAGAACATTATACTTAGTTTATTTCTTCAACAATTAAAACAATAGTTTATAGTAAGCAATACCAAATATAAATTCTACAATAAATAAACAGTGCACACACTCTGCTTACAAGATGTTCCTTCCTACTTGTAGAGTAACCTGCAGAAAGACCTGTAGGACAAAACTCAGGAGAAAAGAGACCTGGTCCTCTAAAAACCCAGACACTGGCAGGGAGATCAGATGCATTTTCCTGTAGGTGCATCCCTTAAAGAGAGATCTATATAACGCACACATAGAGTACATTAAGAACTTTCCCTGAATTCTTGATAGATGGACTGTGAAAAGGACCAGGTTTTTCCTTCTGTACTGGAGTACTATGATGGATTGGCACTGGGAGGACACGTACAGTGAGATCAGTATGGCCAACAGCCAGTGAGCAGTAAGTAAAGGATGTTTTTTCCTCACTAATATGTAGTTAGTTGTGTTCAAGGCCAGGTGAGGTGGGGGTCTGAGCAACCTGTTCTAGCAGGAGATGTCCCTGGCCCATGGCAGGGAGGTTGGAACTGGATGAACTTCAAGGCCCCTTCCAAGCCAAATTCTATGATTCCATTGATCCATAATATGCAACATTGTTTATTATTTCAGCTAATCCTTCTTACATACCCATCTTGACATTTCTTTATAATTGGTTCTTACTATAGGACACTTACAGGACATGTCACTTATGCCAACACCTCTCACACCACCCACTCAAGAAAAGGGTCTACTGTAAAGAATAATTGTTTTTGACAGCTTTGTTTCTCTGTTTGCTGGTGACATTCCGGCTATTTTTGCATGTAGCAAAGGATGGACATGTAATTAAAGACACATCTGCAATATTTCTTTACTGTTTTCATTGATGCCTTTATCCATATGCATAATTTTAAATCCCATTTACACCTGCAACAAAGATAACTCTCAGAGCCATTTTATGACAGAATTAACAGAGTAGCATCTCTCTATATAAAGTGCTAAGTTTCAATATACATTTCTAATACCTGAATAAATTAAGACTCTAATTGGAAATCATAATTTGGAATGCAAAGCAGAATTAACTGCTATGGAACCACACCACAGGAGTCTCAAAAGACATAGTAGGTGTATGGCCTAATGTGTATTTGGGATATAAAAATGGCGGAAAATTTGCAAGAATTAGACAGGAGTCAGAAAACACAGGAGAAATCCCTTATTTTATGAAGATACTTCTAATTTTATATTCTGAGAAAAAAACTGTCAGACATTTATAAATTACAGGTGTTCTTAGCCATACATCCACAGAACACAATTCTAAGTTAAAACTTGACATTTTTAGTTATTAAACAGAATATCAGAGTTAAACTGCTTAAACACCTTCAAGCATAAACACATTTATGACAAAACAATGAAGATACTGAGAAAGTGTAGTGTCAAGTGGAAGACAATTTTATCACTATCCTGCTTCTCAAAAGGCAGTGTTAAATACCAAGTCAGAGCACTATTAACTATCATTTTTTGTAATCTCATCCAAACTTGTCACTAGATAAAAACAGTAACATCAGAATCACTGCTTCGCTACTCGTCTAAGTGATTTGACATTTCTCTGGCATCCTTATGTTTTCTGTGGTCAGCCTCTGGTGTGCCAAGATGTAAGAGCAAGTGGGAAAGTGTGATGACTAGAAGGCAGCCCCTTGTTTATCAGGGCATGCAGGCAGAGCAGCCAGCCCAGGGAGTTTACAGACAATTGAAACAGGGCAACAATTCTCTTTGCAAGAAGCTTCTTTCTCAAGCAAATTCAGTCCCAAGAATGTTTGGATAGACTTGAACTACAAAACAGGCATAAGAATCAGAGGAAAGTTCTCACTCAATTCCTTCTTACTTGATTTAGCATGTTTCAACAACTTGTACAAGGCTCTGAAAAACCTGAACCAGAATGACAAAGGTATTAAAAGATCAGGATTTACTTTTCAGAGATGTCTGACGAAGTTGATTACTAAAGCATCCTTTAAAACCGAGGACACTGCTTTCACTCTCCATTTTAATAAAGTTAATCATGCATAAAAATATAATAATCTAATATAATCTAATTTAATAAAGGCAGAAAACTCCACAAGGTCAAATATTTCATCAGTGCTCTCACTCTAAAGCCAGTATTCAAGAATTATAAGCAAGCCAAGTCTTCCTGAATAAAAAGGTTACTAAAGCAGTTTGCTGTATAATTTTGAAGATAAATCCAGTGATATATAGAACAAATACAGTGTTGCATATTAAGCAGTACTAGAGGCTATCAAATCAACACATTTTCCAGCTGCTGAAAAAAATCAACAAAGAGGCAAAATTGCCCAAAAGCTGTTATCATGCCAACAATTAGAAATTCACTCCAGCTATTGTTGAACAAAATGAATCCAATTCCAAAAATAAATCAAGAGCAACCCTAAAACCAAACAATATACTCTGGTAGAGAGTAAAATGTATAATAACAAAGGTAACCCAAACAAGAGTTATTAATATTGAGATATTACTCAGACATGAAGTTTCTTTGAATACTTAACATTCTCTACCTAACTCTATTGTTAAAGGAAATAACATTTTATATCTCATCAGGAGAATAATGAAGCTTGTTGTATTTAAAGGCTACAGTAAAATTCTCAACAGATTTGTGGAGCTCAACCACTCCAAAGCCAGTAGAACTAGCATTTCCAAAGATTTGCAACACAAGTGACTTTTGAGGTCAGTCACAACAAGGCAGACTAAGACAAATAGAAAACAATACATTTCACATTATGGAAACAATGAAACCAATGGAAATATGCTGCAAAAAACAAGGAAAAAAACAGTTACCTGGAACAAGTTCCATAACAATATATATAGGCTGTCGTTGAGTGCAAACTCCTATAAGTTTTACAATATTAGGATGGTCGTATTGTTTGAGTATTCTGCAAAAAACACAAGAAGTTTATTCAAGTAATGAACTTTATTGTACAGGCTGATTAAACATTACAGGAAAATATCTTAAACCTTTAATGTTACTTTAATGGAAGATGCCGTTATTGTTATCAAAGGAAAAAATATCATTACTGTTATCAAAATCAATATAACAGATCAATCACCACTGTTTGAAATGAAAATCATAACTGAGTCATTAATAAATCAAAAATTATTCTCATTGTAATTTTACCATTTTTCTATGTGTCATTTATCTATATAACTGAAAAATGACCTGACATAACCCTTGTATTTAATCAGAATTTCAGTGGTGGACCAGAAGCAGAGCTACATCAAAACATATGCACAGCTTGCCTGTATGCTTCCCTGCTGCACTGTTCAACAGCTCACTTGTTCCAATTTACTTTGAAAGATTAATTAATCCAGTAAGTTTTAGAAGACTATAAGGACATCAATTTTGATAATTAAATGAACAATTTATATCTTTTGATAAAATGCTTTAATAAGAACATTTCCAGCCTTAAACAGCATGCTATGATTTGTAAGTCAAAAGAAGAGCAATACAAAATTCTATAGAGACCTTGTAACTTAAATGTTTCTTCTGATATTTGCTGACTCAAAGCACCTCCTCTTTTTCCCTTTTTCCCACAGATCAAGATTAAAATACTAACATGTTTAGCGAAAAATAACACATTCTATTTTTTCAGACAATTTCTTCCCATTAGTGTCAAGCTGCTTAACAAATGACATATCTCTGCTGTTGCCAAGTTACAAGTTTTCAAAAATTATTCAATAGATAGGGTGGCTGAAACCCTCATTCTGTAAATGCAGATAATATCTTTTATTTTCCAATACTGATCACACTAGCTTGGGAGTGGAAATTAAAACATATGAAGCTTCATAGCAAGAAGGAGCAAGGTAGTTTATCTCAAGACAGCCCTCTCCCTGGAGTCTCAGGATCTACCTATGTACATCAGCTAGCACTCAGAATGCTTTGCATATTGTGCCATGACTGTAATTTGGAAAATAAACATATCATCTTATGCTGATTGACACAGTATAAAATACCTCTACTGGAGCAAACTCTTCTTACAAAGAGAAAATTCCTAAATGGGGTCTATACCCCACTAAGAAAAGTAATCTGGGCACATTTGATCACCTCTACCAGACATGAATATAAGGCAGATGTTAGGCCTGGTATAATCACACTTAAATTCACAACATCCTCCAATCTTCTAATCTGAATCCTCATGGCACATCTTAGAAGTTTTAAATTAAAGCACTTGAGACAACAAACTTTTATTTTACAGGCATGGCTTGCTTTGTCAACAAGATGGTTTCATCAAGCAAAAATGCTACTGCATTCACACATTAAAAATGCCAAAGTTTAGTTACCACGGATACAGCTGTGGAATGTACTGAGGGAGAGAAAGGAAGGAAAAGTTTCATTACTTCTTTTTTAATTTTTCAGAAGGTCAGGTTTTGTAAATGCATCTGGTGATAAAAACTGAAAAAAACTGCCACAAGTAATTTTAGAGAACCTACCTGGCTTCAGACAGAAATTTTATTTTCAGTTCCTGAGGAAGATCTTCTTTGCAAGTTTTTACAGCAACAGGGGTTTTATCCTTTAATGTTCCTTTATACACCTCACCAAAATTACCCTGAAATCGGGACAAATAAAATCATTCTAGGTAAGTAAATTCTTAATGAATTGCCAGAAAAAATAATGCAGAGAGCATCTGAAAGTGGACTAGAACTCTGGAATGTGTTTATGAAGCCAAATGAGATTTTCTTTCAGTATCTACCCTAACCAAATCCGTTCACTCTGACATAGTATATCTATTATATGGACACAGCATATGAGTTCTGTTTTGACCTTGCTGGAAAGAGGAAAAAAAACCCATTAATTAAGTAATTAGAATTTTCTCATAAAACCTCTTAAATACTTTTAAAATCAACTGACATTGACTGTAGTACTTTGTTCTTCTTATTCTTACTCCTGCACACTTTCATTTTCACACTATTGTATTTTGTGAAAAGTTTTTAACTTGCAGTCTGGAAGAGACCAAAAACTGATCTCAAAAACTGTGACAAAACATATCAAAATAACATAAACATTCTCATATATAAGAAAGAAAAAATACAAAATATGAAGAATGAAAACATGTAACATTATTTTTTATCATAAAGTAAACCCACTGCAAAATGCATTGTGGTGTATGGTGATCCAGAGTTTCTTTAAACTCAAGGTCAGCAGTACTCTATAAAGGCAAATATGTAAGGCTTCCATTTGGACAAGACTTTAGAAAGCAGCTCCTTTTATAATGACATTTTAGGTAGTGAACAACATATCCCCAAGTCAGGGGTTTTTTTAAGCTTTCATAGAAGAAAAATGAAGTAATAAATACCACAAATAATACACCAGGTAAGTTTTTATTTAATAAAAACAAAAGGAAAATTAATTAAAACCCGAGTTGAAAGAAGAAGGAATTTGTGAGGTATAAAACACTGGTATCAATGAAAAAAAGCCCTCAAGAGAAGGAAACAAGAAGGAAACTATAGATCTCATACTTCTAGTTAAGCTTTGTATTTCCCAAAGAATACACACATCTCAATTTTGAAACTATGTCTGATCAATTTCTACATGAACTACGCTTCTGTGTCCTGGTGTCTGGGGCCGCATGTGACTTCAAAAAAAATCTCCTGGAGATGTTTTCCTTCCTTTCCTCCCTTGAAACTATCCTGTTTAAAAATGTGAAGATCCTGCAGTACCTGTATTTTATGAAGGCACAGCTCAATATGGTCATACTTTTTGTCATCTTAATCTGCCAAAGAGCTTTTATCCTGGGAAACAGAAGTTTATGGCAGTATTTTATATCCCCATTCTTGAATTTCTTACTGATTTTTTAAGTGTGTACTATAGTAAGAAGGCAATTAACTGCTTTTGATTTGTGTCTTCCCCATTTAATCTTATTTTCTCAGTTTTTGAAAAATCTTTTCAAACTACTCTGTGTTCAGAGTAGCACCCAAAATGGTCTCTGCAGGTGCAAAAGTGCCAAAAAAGTGAAGAGTTTGCCTGATTTTAAATACTTGTAGTTCCTAAACAGACTTTGTAAACTACATGTTTATTAACTACACAAGATTTAATAAGATTGTGAAATTATTTAATTTCATCAATGAATGAGTGAAAACAATCATGCACAAGCAATTAGCATTTGTTTTAAGAAATAATGATTTAGTCATCTCATCATACCAAATTTTATACACAAATGCATAAGCATACAACTGTTTCTCTACATGTTTTTACTTATATTTTGCAATATTTTTTTCCAACTACAGAAAGTAAAACAGCCACATCATGCTTTATAAAAATCTAATTAGCGCAAAACACTTCCAAAGGAGAAAAAAAAAAAAAGCTCATTAAATACTTTCAGCATAACTATTATAACGTTTACAAGCAAGTGTGATTTACATCTATTTAAAGCTGTCTCATGTATTAGTGTAAAAAAAAGAAATAAAAATTGCATACCAGAGCAATTTAAAATAAAAGGTATGCAGAAATAGTTTAATCATTACAGTATACTTGCTCAAATGTTATTTAGCTCACTTTACTACTTACTTTGCCCAGTAACTCCCCCAGTGTGACATCTTCATGACTGAGAACCCATTTCTTATCCTATGAAAAGGAAAGCAGAATTTTCAGTCTGCATAAATATGGAAGACACGGTTTCACTAAGACACATCTCAGTAGAAATGGAGTTGAAAAAGTATTACATTTAGAACACTCAATCACAAGCAAAGCAAGAAATTTTAAAGCTAAACATTTATAATTCAAAATTTTACAAATCTTGCTTTATTTTATACAATAAAATAGTGAGTGATACTGTATAGAAATTTTTTATTAGAAATTAAGCCTACAACATGATGGTATGTAGATAGATTAGCACTATCTAAAGTTTCACACAAGCTCTGAAAATTATATTTAGCAATTTTAACAATTTTAACAATTCATCAAGTGAAAATTAGATAAGAAAACTTCATTTTAGTATACAATGTAACTTACTACTAAATCAAAAAATTCCCACATTTTTCTCCTCAGTGCACATGGAAATGAACTAAACTTTCAACTTGTCAACAAGACACATACTTGCATCTCTTCCATCTGTTCTGGAAGTTGGAAATATTACAGGCAACTACTTGAAAAGATAACACATGCCAGGTAAAGCATTTTCCCAGGCCTGTGCTGGGCACTGGTGTCCAGCTCTACACCCTTCCACTCAGGAAGGACATGGAGGGACTGGAACATGTCCAGAAAAGGGCACTGGAGCTGGGGAGTCTCTGGAGCAGAAGTCAGATGAGGAGCAGCTGAGGGAGCTGGGGGTGCTCAGTCTCTAGAAAAGGAGGCTGTGGCTAGGTGGGGGTCAGTCTCTACTGCTACATCCCAAATGAAAGGACAAGAGGAAATGGCCTTAAATAGTGCCAGGGGAGGTTCAGATTAGAAATTAGAAAAAAGTTCTTCACTGACAGAGTGGTTTGCAATTGGAGTAAGGTGCCTAGGGAGGTCATGGAGTCACCCTCTCCAGAGATTTTCTGTCGAACATGAATTCAGCAAATCTAAAAAGGGGTGGAGATCATTGCTATTGTGATTTCTACGCTTTTGTTCATAAGTTTAATGTCACAAGTGTGCATTCTAGAGACTTTCTGAATGCCTTCATTAAAACAAACTCCCAGCACACAACACCTCTCAGTCCCATCCCAAGGATTCCTGTACCGCACTACCATGCTGCATGATTTAAACCAATCTTTACTATATCTCTTCCCTGGGTGGGAAACTGTGAGACTTAGGGGAAATTCTCAACATACAATAGTTTATTTTTTCCCTGTACACAAGATTATTGCTTAAAACTACTGCCTCACTGATCAAACATCATAAGAAACATACTTCCTTCATCTCACTAGATACTCTCTGCTGAATGAATGTCTCATTCAAAAGCTGTTGTACTACAAATTGATAGGAAGTGCCATCAAACTGCACACTCTTTCAATAATAATACACAAGTTTAAGAAAACAATTTGCAAAGAAAGCTGTAAAAAACCTTAACCCACAAAAATTACTACTTAGCGGTATTAACATAATAGTTTTTAATATTGAAATAAGTGTGGTAAAGCCAAAAAGTTAAAGAATTAAAATTGAATGGATTTTTTTAATCCCTGCTTAACTACAAGGATTCTGTACTTCAGTGAGTAACTTTTTTTTTTAATAAATTCACAATATGACATTTCAAAAGGTTGTTTATGAAGGAAAGCAATCTGATAATTCTTCAGAAAACTAACCAAAGAAAATAATACCATAAACTGGAATCAAATTATCTGTTGAAGGATTTATAATCATTGCATAACCTTATATTACCTTATATTTATTATTATCGCATTACCTTATTTGTACATGAATCATACCTGTACTTTTTAAGAAAGCCTTCAGTCATTTCTTATACCACTTTAACCCATTCATTAATTTATTGTAGTTCTGCCAGATTTTTCACAAATAATTATTTAAAGCTTGATCAACTTTGTTTGATATAACTGCTATAAACTGCACAAAAGCAGTTTCTTCATCAGACAGTAAGAAAAAATCTAACAGTCATGTACATCATGCCAGTGTGCAATTCTGACATTAAAAAGAAACAAACCAAATCTTCTGATTTGCAGTATGTTACATATTAATTTAAATAGTGTTCAAAATACATTGTCATTGGTTCAGATAATTGCCTTTAATAAATAAACTATAATATGAACACTAAGGTCAAAGATACCAAGACATTCTACTGCAACTTTATCTCACTAAATCTATTTGAATTGCTCTGAGTTTAATATGACATCATTCAATAACCAGAATAGCTGTTAATAATTAAAGACATCAATAAGGCACACTTATCAATGTCAAAATCAATGCATAAATACTGGTACTCATAAACGAAGGTTATGAAATAAAGTAATATCTGTCTGTCTGATCATGAAGTTCATGAGCTTCTCTAAATGCTTAATTCTGACTGTTAATAGAATGTAACAATCTTTCCAGTTTTCAAAAGCCTTTAGTCTACAGATTAATCATGTATGCAAAAGATATTTAAAATTATAAAAGAAATGTGACAGAAAAATGGGACAAAAATATTCTTGAATGCAGGTATAGATCAACAGACACTTTAATGTACATCAGTCCACAGAAATTTTCATTTCATTAGGAGTTAGTTGCTTCTAAATCAAGTGGAGCAAATCCAATACATTTTTGTACCTAATCAAAGTAATCTGAATGACAGCAAACAGAATTCTGAGACTATTAATGCCCATTAATTCCACCCAAAAGGAAGCTGTTTATCATGCAGTCTTCTTCTTCTATAGCGACACTGCTATAAATCTCCCTTTACCTTGCACTTGTTCTGATTTTTCTCTTGTTAATTCTGGACCACAGAATATAAAAGCACTTCAGAAAAATTCAGCCACACAAATTAGCACTTGAGCGTACTCACTTGTAATCTTAATTATATACCTTATTTCCAAATGGAACTACTTGGGAAATCTACAAGCTTTACCACACTCTACTTTATTTCTGTCCTCTAGCTTCCCCCAGGAGGAGAAACTGAATGACATGAATGCCACACTTTAAGCACAGGTTTACTAATAAGATGATGGGAATCCTAGCAGTTTATCTTACCTGTGGAGGTACTGCTACATCTGTTGGTCAAACACTGAGAAACAAGCTGTCAACCAGACAGCACACAAAGGGGAGAACTTTGTCAGCCTTGATGTGGGTTATCAGGCACTTGATAACCCACATCACACTGAAGGTTTTTATGTGCAGCAGCTTGCTAGTGACTACCTTTCTAGACTCTGTGTAACTACCCAGCACACTTGTCTGACTTCAACAAAGATAAGCATTTTCAAAGAGAAGAGTTATTTCAAAAGTTAATTGTCACTGACAAAAACCAAACCTCAAACATACAAATAATTAAAGAAATAAAACTTTCACTTGTGAAAAGGAATACTTAAAAATAATCAGAAATGTCTCCTTTTTTTTACTCATAAAACAAAGTATTCTGCATATACAATATTCTTTTCCTGGATATGTAGCGTTCCTTTTATAATGTTAGGGTGTTTCATGGTTCCCTTGACCATGATAAGGTTCAAACCTTGCAAAGATAGCAAAGATTCAATTGTTCATCAATACTTGCTTCAGTGAGCATACAGTGGAGTTGTGTGCAAGGCACTGAGAACAGTTTGGACAGCAGATGGTTGATGTAAAAAATGAAATCTCATTTCTCCTTTTCTGAGCTATGAGACTGAAATTTTATCACTATTACCTTAAACATCTTCAAAATATGAAACTGCAGTTTTTTTCCTGCCCATCTCCCTTTACTGGGAGAAGCTACATCAAAGAGATCTCAAATTACTATACCAGGAAGAAAGCTTACAAATTACCTGCAGTAAATTATAACAGCTTTCAATAAAATAGAAAACATAATCATGATCTAATACTTAGTGTTCAAATTCCCTTAGCATTATTTTTCTATAATTCTCAGTAACCAAGACACAATATCAATCATTAAGAATTCTAAAATGGTACTTTTTCAAATTTAAAACCAGTAGTAAAGCTATTAGAAAGTAAACTTTTAAAAACATTTTTTGAGAATTAGGTATGAATTTATGAGCCTCAGCTTAAATATTTGGTTCTAAAAATCTCACCATTTCTAAAAGGAGAGAGAAAAGAGAAGGTCGAAAAAGCCACCTGTGTATGTATTCAATTTCAGAGAACTGCCAAACACCAAGATTCTTACCAAGATTTTTCGAAGAGGAAGAGTGAGGAAACCTTGATCAGGTTCCAACACAGTATGAGTAAGAAAGACCTTTATGTTATCATCACTGTTATTTATTCATCTCCTGTTCTCTCTCACATTATTTACTCTTCCTAGTTCAGAAAGCAGTATCTACAGCAAACATTGTCATTGTTTTTCATCTTAATTGTAGATGTAGCAAAAGTGGAAAAGGATAAAAAACTCTATAGGATGGAAACTTTAGTTGACTTAGGGAGCCCCAGAAGGAATCAAACAAAACTTATTGCTTTAAGAGAACTCAAAACATATGACTTTCCAATATTAAGAATATCCGAGCACAGCATGTGGCATTTATGAAAAACCTAAATATCCCTCCCCTTTCCCTCATCCCAGTACATTAATCCTTAATATTCTTCTAAAAAACCTCAAAATAGAGGGATTTTGTCAACATTTCAAGAGTCAAGTGCATAAACATGCATGATGCCTCCTCCTCCATGTTTCAAGCAGAAAAAATGCATCAAAAATACTTTTGAAAGTATTATTTGCTCTCCTTCTTCCAAGTTAAATAGGAAATATCAGTAGTATGAATTACTGCAGCTAAGAGCTATTTTTCCACATCAACAAAAATGGAAAGTTAATCTTTCATTTCCAATACTAAGGATAATTGGAGTAAAATTCTTTTTATGGCTAAGAAAATCAGAATCGCAGACAATTTTCATCAGATGGGTATTCAAATCTCACTTATCAGAACTTGATGAACCAGACAGAAAAAAAAAAAAAGTAACAGCTGTGTACATGTGGATAGGGCTTATTAATATAGGAATGAGAAATCGTCTTTTTAGAGAAG